AACAAAGTTGTTGAATTGAAGATTCTGAGAATGTCAGTGGGTTTAAACACAGATTCAAGCTATTTGTGGCATTGTGAATTAACCAGAGGAGAGCTACAACAGCAGCAATATTCAAAATGACACATTCCCCCCTGGAGGAAACTGTTTAAACATCTGAGCATTGCCCAACATCTCTTTCTTCTTTAGTTTTGTTGTTTTGACTTTGTTTATTCATCCTTTTCTCGAAGCGCCGGCTTTATCCGCCGCTCCCTTAACTTGTTCCCAACAACGATGATTCCTCAACACAAAAGAATGAAAGAAACTCTCAATGAAAAACACAATCTTTTCATCTCGGGCATGAGTCAATTACCAGGGCAGCATTACTGAACACGCTGCATGTGTGTTTTTTTTCAGAGAATCGTCCTCTGGACTGAACCGAAGGATGTATTGATTCTGACATGTTTATTTCCATGGCAAAGACATGATTTCCAACAAGACCAGCACATTTAGCTTTTGTTGTCCATGTGTCAGCTGGAACGCTCCCAGTAACTTTTATGAGTTTTTTAAACAATGCTTTGACGGACATGGACTATTGTAGTTTGTGTGCCAAGATTTCTTAATTTTTATGCATTTCATATTGTGCAGCTCACACCAAAGGCAATGGGAATATGGGATTTGACACTAGGGTTTGATCATCACAGAATACTTGGCTCACTGTGTCCTGGTTAATTTCCAGATCTTGGTAAATTTATTTCTCAATGTAGGCAAACAGTTTGCACAAGCTGTTTCTTTATTAGCTGCTGCTATAATTGTACAATGCTACAGAAATTAAAAGTAATATTTCCATGTAAAGATGTAGTTGTAGTGTAGATTTGCCCACCTTTATAATTTAGAGGGAGTTTTTTAAGGAGGGAGCTGCTTTTGCACAGTTGGTTACATAATTTCACTGGTTTAGGTGGTTTTACCAAACATAGAGGCTGTTTTCAGTGAAGGCTAGACAGTGAAGACCCAGACGCCAATACTTACCACGAGCACCACCGGAAGAGATTTTATGCTTTCAAAACAAAACAAAACCGTCCAAACCAATACAAATATGTTTACTAATTTTTTTCTTTACACAAAAAGATAATCCCAGACGAGCCCCCAAATTGTTACGTCCCCATTTGTGGTGTCAAGGGGAAAAAGGGGAGCAACAATTAATAATGACCCGGGCATTTAAAGAAAGGCAGGAAACAGAAATATTGGTGCTGTTAAACTATTTCTTCTAACGTAAACACAAAACAACTTCCTAAAAAGTAAGGAAGTGAAAAAACACTTAACTAAACAAAACGGGTACAATAAATAAATAACGCTATCCCTCCACTGAGGGAGTAAAGGTAACTCAAGAGTTACATAGCTCTGCTTCACACGCCGACAGCAACACAACTCCCAATATCTGCTCTTTTGCACTAAACACTTGCCTGAAGCAATAAGAACAGTAAACTGTTCTGGATGCAAATTTGACTTGAGATAAAACTCTGTTGTGCTGAAAACAGAGATATATAGTCAGTGTTTCTTTCTGTACTATTTGTGCATATGTGTTTTAATTTCTTCCTTCTGAAAAAATATCTTAGCTATACAAGTTCAGCTGTGTGTTACACTGTCAGTCTTTGAATCGTAATTGTAGTTTCTGACTTCAGGCATGTTTGGAAACTTTGTGTGTGTGTGTTTTGGTGTGTGTCTGAAAGTAAAAGAGTGAGTCTGCAACCTTGCAGTCTGGAAAGATAAAGTGAAATGATGCTCCAGATGGGAACATTAATAACAAGATGAAAAGAGGAATTCTTTGAGTTTCTGTCATAATGAATATTAATTACTACAGAGGCTTAGCACCAAGAAACCTGACAATAAGACAGATATTTTGTTGTGATTAATGCCTCCTCTATTGAAAAATACTTCCTCACATGGCCTCTCCTGCTCTTATCATGGAAGAAAGTCTGTAAGAAGAAAGGACCCAGGCTGCTCCTCAGGAGAATTCATATTGTTCTCGCATAATATAAATCAATACAAGGCTCGGGGAGCTCCTGCATCACTAAATGGCTTTGTGGAAACTTAGCAGGAGAGGAGCCACAGCTGTCCCAGGTGCTATATTCCTGCACAGAAACTAAAATACTATACAGACACATAAAACCTCACAAATGGTTACAAGAATGACAGCACTGTTCCAGAACACCTTAGCTTATATTACTTTATTTGGACAGCCCAGTGTTGATGTTTCACTGTGTGTTTACTATTTTTAAACCTATAACCCTGACTCAGACATTTAGTACACTTCAGCAAAGCTAGCATGGCTCTAAGGTTGGCCTGGTGGGCACTCCACCATTTTGGTCCAGACTGAAATATTAACTATTGGATGGATTAAGATGAAATTTTGTACGGACATTCAAGGCCCACAGAGCATAAATCCTTCTGAATTTGGTCATTCCTTGACTTTTCCGCTAGAACCACCAGCAGTTGGCAATAAATTTGGTACAGACGTACACATCGCCCTCGGGTAGAATTGTAATTACTTTGGTAATCATGTGCCATTTCATCTAGCACTATCATCAAGTCAAAATTGAATTAGGAAAAATGTTAGCATGCTAACATGCTTAAGCAGGTGAACATGTTAAAGGACCAGTGTGTAGGATTTACTGGCATCTAGTGGTTAAGTTGCTGATTGCAACCAATTGAATACAGCTCACCTTTCCAACCGTGTAGGAGAAACTACAGTGGCTGCAAACCTTGAAAGAGCCTATCAAGAGCCAGAGTTTAGTTTGTCCAGTCTGAGCTCAGCTGGTTCAACATGGTGTTCGGTTTGGCACTGACTGCTATTGTTCATCAAACATTTGTCAACAAAACAATTATACATTTAGCGAAGGCCACTAAAAAACGATAAATTGAATCAAGAAGTTAACAATCCACTTTTTTTCTTTTTTTTTTTAATATTGCCTTTGTTATCTTGTTATATACAGAGTGAACCTCTCAACATACTGTTGAGTAAGGCTCTATATCACAGCTGAATTGTTATGTGCCTCATTACATTGTCTGATTTTGAATAAAGTTGGCTTACTTACAAAACCTGTAAGTTCCAGTTTTATTTAGTCTCTCATTTGACGTTGTCAGCATGCTGATGTTGTTATTTTTTTTAGCACAAAGCACCTGTGTGCTTACAGCCTTACAGAGCTGCTACCAGCTGTATAGACTTTATTCAGACACTTAATACTTTTCACACAATAATCAAGTATCACTGGAACCTCTGACCTGGTAGCTTTGTGTTCTTCCTAGAGTATTACCAACATTAATAAACTGCAATTGTGATGTTTCTAAAATGTTTGCCTAAAGATGTTAAAAAAGTCTTTTATTGGGTCTATTATGTTTAATTTTGTGACACAGATTTTCCACAGTTTTGTGCATTCTACGCAGTCACTGGCCTCCTTTCCAAAGCAGACTTCATGTCCTCCAGGAATAGGCAGATATAGCCAATATGCTAAGCTCAGGGGTTTAGGTTGCAGGTCATTTCCCAGTGGAATCAGCCGGCTCCTGCAGAGGGCTTGTGATAAGAGTGGATATTGGAAGCTATGTAAACCTTGTTAAGCTGCCCTTCCCCTGTGTGCAGGGGGGTAATCCTAAACACCTGGGCTAGTTAACTGGGATCTGGTGGGATTAGGGGCTCCGTGAGGCAAACCTGATCATGCTTCTGGTTAAATCCAATTCCATTCTTATCTTTTCACATTCTCTCTTTTATAATTCAAACTCAATCCAGCAGTTACTCAACAGATATCTTTATACTGAGGTATTTTATCTCTGCCTATATCTGTTCTTCAGGGCTTTGAGAACTAGTCAAGCATAAATGTGTCCTGGTTACTTGATTGAATGTCCTGCTACTGTACATTACATTGTAAAAGTTGATGTTTTAGCCCAATTAAGGCTGCTTGTTTTGTTTGTCATTTTTAACTATTGGATGGATTTAAGATGACATTTTGTACAGACATTCATGGTCCACAGAGTATGAATCCTGTTGACTTTTGTTATCCCCTTACTTTTCCTCTGCTATAACCACAAGGTTGACATTTTTGGTTTTATTGAATTATTTCAACAACTGTAATGTGGTACAGATATCAATAGCATCCAAAGGATAAATCCAAATTACTTTGGTAATTTCCCGACTTTTCCTCTCGTGCCACTGTTACAGTAGGACAATATTCCAATTTGTCCATTTTGACCAAATATCTAGATAAGATTAATTCCCACCAGCCTCAGGTGTATTTTGTGTTTGATTTAGTTTTTTGTTGTGTCTAATTAGCAAAGGTTAGCACGCTTATATGCTAATCTAAGATGATGAACATTATATCTTCTAAACATCTGCATGTTAGCATTGTCTTAGCATACTGATTATAGCATTTAGTTTAATGCACTGCTTAGAGCCACGAGCAAGACCATAGACTGTTTTCCTTTTAGCCCAGTGAAGGCTGTTAGCCAAAAGCCATTGTTGAAGGCTTCATATCAAGACATTATAATTATTATCCTTATAAATATTGCATTTTTTGCTGTTATTCAATAGCTTTAACGTCAACATTTTGGAAATATGATTAGATAGATAAATCATCTTTCATGGAGTCCGCCATGTTTCTACAGTAGCTCAGAACAGACAAACATTGGCTGTAGACACATTTTTTGCGGCAACCATAGTTTCTCCTACACACTTCATAGCCTGTTCTCATTCCCAGGTCATCAGATATAGACCTGTGCGGTGTCCAGTTAGTTGCAAACTTGAACTTCACTGATAGATGCCACTGAATCCTACACAGTGGTCCTTTAACAAACCATTAGCCTTTCCCACTCAAAATAGCATTTGGTCTTTTACTCTGAGTGGTCAAATGGAGCATGGACATTTTGAAAATCTGTACTTTGTAGTCTAACTATGACAATCATCATCAACTATAGTTCAGCCTCATCAACTAACCACCCTCTTCCTCTTTCCTCCTCTTTCCTCCTCTTTCTAGATGTGGACGAGTGTGCAGAGGCGCTTGACAACTGCAGCATCGATGCCATCTGCCAGAACACCCTGAAGTCATACAAATGTATCTGCAAGTCGGGCTATAAAGGGGATGGCAAACATTGTGAAGGTAAAAGTCTTACTGGATTAATGCGCTCATTTTCACCTGTGGTTGGAGGCAGAAACTTCTGCTCCCCTCTGTAGGAGCACACAGACGTTTGTTACAGTACACTGAAGTAAAAGCCACATTTCTCATGTTGAATTGCCTTATCTCTCTGAACGTAAGCCCCTGGGCCAGTGACGGGCTTGATAAGAGCTTCTGTCTCACTCAACATAACTCATTAGTTTCAAGACTCTCCTGAAGAGGGAGGAGAGACGAGGGAGAAAGTGGCGGACGGAGGAAGGGGAACGCCAGGTGCAGAGTGCTCCTTTGTGACAAGATGAAATGAAGCAGTAAATTTCCTACACATGTTAGAGGAGAGAATTAAGATAGCGGCTGAAATGGCAGTCAGAGGCCCTGCCAAGCAGTCAGGGATATTTCCACAGCCAGAGGCAGACCTCGTAGACTGTCAGACACAAGTCTGTTTTTCTAGCCTTTTTCAATGTGCCCAAAGCCTCCGGATCATTATATCCCACAATTTTTATTAGTGTTATTACAAAACCATATTTCACAATGTCATTTTTTTCCTTACTATTATTATTCTTTCATTTACTTGACCGAATGTTTTTCATGGCCCTCTGCCTGTAGGTCATAAAAGTTTGCTTTATTGAATCTATTGTAAAATATGTGCCAGGTTGGGTTTCCATTGAACTGAAGGTTTGCTGATGGCTTCTCAAGGCTGATACTACTGGTAAATACTGGTAAAATTCAAAATTCAAAGGCAACATTCATAAAATAAGAAAGTTGTAGCTTTTCTCAGTGTTGCACTTATGTGTGTAAAGAGAGTGCAGCAAAAAGCGTGCAGACAATGAAAAAGAAAAGCTTTCTCATGTTTCTGTGCTGGTTGGCTTAAACAGCTCCTCCACCCTGCTTATCTTTATAGTCTATGGTTCAGATTTGCTCTTTATGTTTTGGTGGTCTAAATGTGACCTGTCAGTAGCTGGAATTTTATGAGTCCGTATCAGTTGAAGCACAATCTTTGATTCAGGGGATGCTACTGATTTGTCCTCTGTTATTATAGGTTCATAATTTTTTAAGTTGTTCTGATAATAGTCAAGTTCCCATATGAACACTGAAGGACAGGTAAGCAGTCCTCCTATTTATGATAAAAGGTCCCTTTAATATAGAATTCCCTCTTAGAGTTTCCCTGGACTTTGTTTTCTTGTTGACCTGCAGTGGAGGGATGGTAACAAAAAGGTCTCTGTGGCAAAATATGACAATGAACCAAAAACACAAATAGAAGTTTTGAAGGTAATTTAGTTTAAAAAAAAATCTGTTTCAATCTCAGTTAATTTTTTATTGTCAATGACTTTATAAATTTGATTTCCAATTGTTTTTTCATACTGGCTTTTATTATTATTATTATTATTATTATTATTATTATTTATTTATTGTCTTTAAAACATCTTTTTATCGTTGTTTTAGAAATACATGATAATGATTGTTTTTACTTTCTGCTTTGTCTTCCTAACAAAAAAACTACTGATCGCAGTTGACTTTTATGATTTAGATTAGTAGACTGTGAAAACACCAGGGGCATATCTTCCTACCACTGAAAAAGTCTGATTATATTGTATTTTCTAATATATTAGAATCTTGTCAGTAAACCAAACTAAAAGCTGAGTATACTGAGTATTAAATCTATTACATTTCAGCCTCAAAATTAAATTTAGGATTAAATCTTTATATATATATACAGTATATGCTTGTCCAAAAAAACAAATCTGCATCTTGTAGATATAAAGGGACAACACACTCCTGGCTTAGGAGGACGTGACAAGCATCAAATAAAAACAAACTGAAAGCTATTGGAGAAAATTCACTTTTGTGTTATCATGTGGTGGGTGTTTCAGGTTTAGAGAGGAGTAGAGAAGTGATGGGTGATTGTGTGCCGTGATCGGGGAATGACAGAGATGTGTGGGAAGCGGAGAAGCAGGGAGCAGGAGAGTGTTTCTTTGTTTCAGTCCCATCCCTCTGCTGTCAAGTACAATTAAGCCCTGAGTGAGACAGCCTCAAAGAGGAGCTGAACGACCGGGATCATCGGCCCTAAATGGGCCAGTAAGTGCTGTGTGGAAGTGCGCTGTGTTCTCAATCCACCTTGTCTGGGTCTCCTCAGTACGGGCCCCTCAACCATCATCATAACCATAACAGACAACTCCACTCTGGCTGTCATACCAATCTGCAGTCTCGCTTTATCTTTTTGCTTCTGCTCCCTCATTTTTGTGTCTTTCTTCAGTTTTAGCTACTAGGATTGATGAAGGGTTAGATCGATTTAATGCTCCGATGCTCAAAATTTGCCTTTTATTAAGTATTCGAACAGTCAGCCTGTAATGTTAATAAGTCAGTACTAATTTAATGGAGATTCCTTTCTGACGACGTAAGTCTCACGCATGGAATAGTTTAATTTTCCATAAGAACTTTATTTCCTTATTACTTTTAATTGTCCAAGTATGTGTTTTGTATAAATAGACAATTACGTACTTATAGCTGCAAATGTTACAACTGACTTCATTCTCTGGTACTCGGCAGAAAGCTGTGGGTACCCCATACTGGACAAAAAACAGTTTCAGAGGCTTTTACATCCTGCCAACAATAAAATTACAAAGCAATGGAAAAAACAACGTTTTGGCAAGAAAGTGGCAAAAAAAATGTTGCATATTAGATATGACATAAAATCAGTATTAGGCTTTACAAACAAAACAATATCAGTGAAGCCCTGGCATGTACCCAAGTTACATCAGTAACAGGTGAACCAACTAATTACCACAGCTGTTGTATGTACCCTGTTAACCTCATAAGAGCTCTTATGAAAGAAGAGATGAAAAAATCATTTTAATTCTCTTTATTTCACCAAATGGCTTAATTGCACTTTGGAATATTCTTACATTTTATGCTTCTGCTTTCTCACAGAGCGTTAGATGAGAAGATTGATATCACTCTAAGATAGGTTTGCAGCGGTATGACGATACCGTGGTCACGCTGACGTTGTAGGCAACCAAGAAGTTGCTACTCTGCACAACCCCTGTGTAAAACCCAAAGGAAATGCTTATGGTTTTGAATACGAAGGCAACAAGGTTCTAGTTAGTCCCAGTGAGCACATTGAGATTAATAGCGTCAATATTTTTGACAAAAGGTTTAATGATATAACCATAAGAGAACTACTGAAAGTCTAACCCAGCAGCTGTTTTCAAATGAGCCCCTCACCATGAGGTCAACTGGTACACAACATGGAACACAGTTTCTTATCGCCAATAAAGTGAAAGAAGACTCCTTCACTATTAAGCGAAGATGCCGCCCCTGTAATGAAAGAAGTCTTCAAATACTGTCCTGCGGTAAGGAATAGGAGTCTGTAGCACACCTGTTCGTTAACTGTCCATATTCAGGAAAGATTTGGAAAACTACTTGACACTTTATACTACATACACTGTCAGCTGCTCTCTTAGGAATTCCAAAATTCATTTCATTTTAAATCTTTTCAACACACTCGGTAAAGTCTTTATCCTCAAGAAAAAGAAAAGAAAAAAAGCTATAAAATGCATGACATATTTATCAGAATATGGGATTGTAACTTTGTGACATTTCATTGTAGAGATTCATTCTTTTTTAAATTCTTTTACCTCTTTAGTTACCTTTATTCTCTTCATTGTATATTACTTTAATTTATTCAGGATATTAGAAATAATTGAAGTGTCAGGATTTATGTTACATTTGTCTTTAATTATTGCTGTCAGAATACTGCATTGGCAAAAAAGGAAATAAAATGTAAAAATATTCTTTTAAGGCTGCTCCTACATACTAAACCCTCTCCGGATCATGATTGCTTGGAGTTTTAAAGGACCCATTCTCACATCCGTTTGTATCCTCTCTCTGCAGATGTCGACGAGTGTGCAACTGAATACAACGGCGGCTGTGTCCATGAGTGCATCAACATCCCAGGAAATTACAGGTGCACATGCTATGATGGCTTCCGCTTGGCACATGACGGGCACAATTGTCTAGGTGAGTGTGATGGTTGAGAGTGTGTGCACTTAACACAGCGTGTGTGTGTGTTTAAATAGACCTTTCCCTACACTTTTTCCACAGCTGACATAATTATGTAAGAAAAAATTGTTCCATAAGAGGCTTTTGTCAGGAGAACATGTATATTAAGCCGCATGTGTCAAATTTCAAACTCAGCCTGACATAACCCATGCAGTTGAATAAATTCTTCTCTCTGCGTGTCTAAGGTCACATCATGAATGGTAATATATGTTTCAGGGCTGAATTGAGCTCTTATTAGACCGCTGCATTAGATATTAGCTATTTCTTCATTTCACATAACAAGTAGTCTCAAAATGTGTTTTCACAAAAGAAAAAAGGCGATCTTTTTTAATAAGTCTGACGAAAAGGAGTGAATTTATGAAGATCTTGACCCTGAGCTGGGAGCTCTGAGTGAGGCGTCAGCCGACCATACTTTCCCATGGTTTAATATTTCACCAGCGTGCCATTCATATTAACCTCACAGAGAACGCATTACACTTAAAAGGTTATGAAATGAAAGAAAAAACACTTTCTGCTGCTGTGAGCTGCTAAACATAGACACCATCTAACACCACCCCAGATTCTGTCTTTCTGTCTTTCTCCTTCTCTCCCATCCTACATTCCTTTTGGTTTTTTGTAACCACGAAGTCAGACCCTGACTACTGCTGCTCCTCAGAAATCATCTCCCTCTTGGTTCCAATCTCAGCATGATGCATTTCACTTGATATTGAAAGCCGACTCACCCTCGTAGCTGCTGTGAGTTTGTTGCAGAGGAAAGTAACGATGACTTGCTACAGCAGATTCTCATTCAGGTGATGACAGAAAAAGTTATCAGCACTTGACAATGATTCTTTGTGAAAGGGCTTTTGCATGCGGGCACTCAAGGCAACACACTCATATCAATCCCACATTTACTTGATGAGGTGGGATTAAGGCACACTGGAATGGAAAACACTCGCATCTTTAGATCGATAATAAACCTGTTGTGACTCGACGATGCCCTTGTGTCTCAGATTCTCTCTTTCTCTCATTCTTACTGTATTTGTCTCTTTCTCCTCTTCCCTCTCTCTCTCTTTCTCTCTCGCTCATCCGCTGGTATCTACAGTGTAAAGCGGGGCTATTTTCCAAGCAATTTAGCAACAGCGTTCAGCTGTGTGTGGATCATTTGCTGTGCTGTGGATCAGCTCCTGCCTTGCGTGCAGGTGTGTAATTGCAATATATGGTTGTGTGGTTGCTGCTGTTGCATCAAACAGACTTGCATCCATCGATCCCTTTGATATAATTCGTCATAGTGAAACACACACTATCAAACAAACTTTCAAGTTTTTAATTTCTTCTGCAATGTTTTTTTCCTGTACATGACCTGTATGCAAGAGGGAAGAGGTACCTAGGAAGACTATATTCCCTTATGTTCCTGTGAAGATATTGATCCAATTAATTATTTAATGAGAAAATATTTTTTAATCCGAGCATAGCAAACAGAGCACAAAGAGACAACAGATGGCATATATATATGTAGCTGTCATGTACAAATTCAACTCTTGCCTTGAGACCTGAAAGGACTTCTTTTTTTTGAGAATTTAACCTCATTCTAATGCCTCAGCTCTGCTATGCTAAGGAAATAATCCTCAGCACAAACACAGGAGAAGAGGAAGAGGTATTGCCGAGGTTTCATGTTAAGGCCCCAGCTTCCTCTTCCAGGTTTAAGCTTCTTTTGGCCCCTGAGAAAAGATTAGTCCCCTTGGCCCTGGAGTGGAGAGCAGCTAAGCAGCTGGTTCCCAGACGAGGTCAGACCCTCAGAGCCCTTATAGACCAGATGTGCCCGAGGCTGCAGAGAAGGAGACGTTCACCTGATCCTCAAAAGTTCACACTGAGTTTAAAGTCTGAGATCTTTAAGGTGCTTCTCTTCGGATTTACCCCATGTTGTTTTTCCCACAAAGCTCCAGTGATTTTGTTTTATTCTTTTTGTTTTTCATGGTTACAGTTGAACATAAACTCCCAGAGGTGTCCATAACTTCCTGCTCTCGGCTCTCTAAGGCTTTTCTTTAGCCAGCAGGCACCGGTGCATGTGTGTGACAGTCAGCTCAGGGACATGAGTTAGGCCAGCGCACGCGGATCCCTGTCGATGTCTTCTTTGTTTGCTTGCTGCTGCACGTGCCACACGGCTCCTTGTAATTGGATGTGTTGGCAGCATAATGACATTGGGCGGTGGGAGAAGGCGGCAGAGCGTGAAGCAGAACGCTGCCTGGTGCGCCTCACCGGGGACGCTCTGGTTTCTGAGGTCTGCCCTACACCCCACAAAGATGTCAGGGAGTCAGCAAGGTGGAAGCAATGTAATATCACAGCACATTGCTCCTGTCTGTGCGGAGTGAGATGTCACTCACTGTATAATTTACCTCACAGGGAGCTATTGTGCCCTCTCAAAACTCACTGAAGAGAAGAAGTGAAGCATATAAGAACTTGATTACATCTTTTATAACTGTCATGACTATTATCTTGCAGAGGTAAGGGAGGGATGGTATTTAATCACCACACCTCTTTCATGGCAAGGCTGTAGAGGATTTTTACAGTCTTAGGAAAAACAGAGGAATCAATGTCAATTTAATCCAAAACACACATCCTCTTTAGAATGAAAACCAGATGCAGGAAGGCTATTAGTTCCCCACTGTAGCACCACCGTCCCCACATTTATGACCTATGTGTTTTGTTTGAGGTCCTACAGAAACCTGAATACCCTCTTATCATTGCTGGTTCGTTAAACTCTCTCAAGTAGCTTAATATCATATGCATCTGCACAAATACTTTCTTTACAACCACAAATCACAACATTTCACTTCTATCTGGAACTAAAAAGAAACAAATAAAGAGATTTCTTATGCTCCCATAAAGTGGAAATGCCACAATCGCATGCAGTGTGACTCACTGGGAAAAACAAAAGCAGGCTTGAAATAGACATTGCAGATGTTTCACTGACTGCCACCATGCTGTAAAGGACATGCTTTTGTCATTGCATTGTTTGCCTATATTCATCTGCTCTGTTAGTTGTACATGTTGCTCCGTGTCGCCAAAGAACTGATTTGGGGGTTTTGGGCTCCACACACGCATCTTAACAGGCCATGTTCCTTTGATTTCTATTGACCAACACTGATTTGGTTTGTATTGATTCAGCAGAGCTCAATTCCCTGTGCAATCTATAGGGAAATGGATGCCCTTTTACTTTAACCTTCCCCAAAGACATAACATGATCTATAACACAAAAGCAATGTCATTACAGCTTCAAAATGGGCTTTTGAAGAACAGTTTTCAAGTAGCAACCAAGAAAAGGTCACATCAGTTAACACTGTTTAGTGTTTTGTTAATGGTTATAATAATATAGTGGCATTGTTTTGTTTTTTTGCCAATCGCACTGAGAATGTCCCTCAGAAAAAGCTTCATCTGTCATCTGCCACAAAGTCTCTGAGTCGTCGCCCCGGCTGAGCCTGTATCCTTGCTCTTGTAATCCTTTGGGATCATATTGCAAGGTTGGCTAATCAAACAGGAGGTTTCAGACTGATGTATTATTGACCAGGTCCTGATGGGAAAAAGTAGTCATCAAAGAGCGTCACGCTGATTTGCTCCACAGCCTTTACTGCGCTCTTCAATGCATTCCTTTTAAGTGCATTGGCCACTCTTTCACGGCAGTAATGATAACCCCCGCACCCTTCACTTTTGCAGAAAACATTTTACTCTTGCCTGGAAGATGTGCTTTTAACTACCACCTTTAACTCCTGAATATGTAAGATTGAGTTGGGGGGAATGATGGTCTGGCTAACTCTCTCCCATCAAACCCAGAGGAGTTCGGGATACTACAGACACTGCTGGGGCTTAGCACTAACCCTCCTCACTTCCCCGCTGCAGATGCACATACCCCGCTGTCTCCCCAGTTAGCAGTCACTTTGCTTTTGTTGTGACATGCACGGATCGGGTTTGGACAAGAGAGTCTATCCACAGTTCAGAGGAGAGTAGCTGGAGTGATGAGTTAAAGGACGGATTTGAGATAGGTGCATTAGCTGGCTCCTGAAGACTATATCAACACACTCGCTCTCTCTCCTCTCAGGATTGTTCAGTCCCATCCACCATGAAATGAACAATTCCAGCTGAGCCCACTGGCAGGGCTTTGGGGGAAACTCAAGCCTGAGATTGGGCTTAGGGACGTAAGCATGTAGCAGACTGGGAGCCATCAGACGTCAGTGCAGGGCCTCTCGTCTCCTTGGCATCAGGCTGTCCACCCAAACACTTATCCTGGGGTTTTGTTTTTAAAATACTTCCAGACTTGTTTTGGAGGAACACAGAAATACCATTTAGCATGATCTTAGCTCATAGTTTTTCATTTAGGAAAGAACTCAGCGAGAGATTGGACATAGAATCTGTGCTTATTTACCAAAATGGTTACCTGGGAGACAGACCCAAAGTCTAAAAAGTCTGAGTTCAATCAAAGCTGTATTAGTTTTGTTTATGTAATAGTATAAAAATCATGCCTCACTTCTGATTTAAGAATGAGACGCTACAGTAAACAGAGATTTTATTCGTGTTTGCTTAGCAGATGTGAATCAGTTAGCTAAGTTAGACACAGTGGGTCAGGCAGACAGGAAGTGCTGGAACAAATTAATTGTTCAAAGCTAAATACTGTAAGTGTCGATATGCATCAACTTCCATTTTGCAATAGTCACCCACACTTTTATGATTTAGGGGAGTGATTGTTGTGCAGATGAAAGATCAGGACTTTCTGCAACATTTCAAATTATACAACTTCAGCTGACATGTGTCAGACTGAGGCTGAATGTTTGTTAACTCAAAGCGCCTGTGTACTCAGATGTCCTCGCAGGCCGGGTTCAAACCTGGCTCCTTGGTCACTGTTCATTCAAGTGGGTGAAGCAATGCGCTGTGTCACTGAACTCCAGAAGCAACAGAGAAAAAGAGGAAATCCTGTAATCCTGTTTAAAATAAGAAAGGATCTCATTTTAATTGGAGCTGGCTGTGTATGTGCCACTCCTTCCTCACTGGTGCCTGCTCATCTACCAGCGCAGCACGGTCAGCCCCTGCAGTCCACCAGCTGTTTTGCTGCCTGTCGCTGCACATGGCTCCGATTTGCTGCCTTATTAAAGAGTGTGCGCCTCTTCGACTCCTGTAAATTAAACGCGCAAAGAGGCCAGTGTCCGTCCTTTCACCTCCTTGTCTCTGGTCTGTCTAGACCACAGAGACAGTTCTGTCTGATCCAGACAGAAGCCAAGCAGTGGGATGGATGGACAACTTTGATGACAGACAGCAGTAGTTTTTCACTCTCCCTGTGGCAAAAAAAACCAAACCTCTGGGTCAGCAATAAATGCCCCCAAAGTCGCTGAACCTTTAAAAAAAAAAAAAAAAAAAGTTGAGCGTTTCTGCAAAATACGAGTTCAGGAGTTTCTGTAAGGCAACCACCGTGTTTACATGGCTCTAAAGCTCTGCGCAAGGCCAAATGTTATATATACAGTCAAGGCTATCTGAGAAACCAGCGGACATGGCCTCCGCAAACACAACCAATCTCTTAATCTCTCTCCGTTTGAACCTTCCTTTTCCCTTCGTCTCCTCGAGTGAAGCAGGGATAGAGCAGAGACATGTCTCATTTTTCAGAAGTGAGGCAGCCCTTTTAACTTGATTAAGACGTTTTTTTTTCCATCCTCTCAAGAGAATTTTTAAAAAATGTTTTAAGTCCAAATAACATGAGCACTTCTCCTGGCCATGCCAGAGCCCCTTTCCGCTTGGAAATATTTGCTTTGGACGCCAGCCTTGCCCAGCACACAACACAGGCAATTATGGGAACTATTTAAACAGGAGAGATCTACTGACAGGCGACGCCTCATTTGGAGGGATGAAGGAATCAGGAAATGAAACCTTCATTGATGCGCTGAGGGTATGGAAAGAGAATTCCCCTAGGCCCTCTGAGGCTGGTTGCATTTCTCATGGGCATTTTGTGCATATGTCGAGGACTGTTGTATTTGTGTAGCCTTTACATGTTTGAATTTTTGGGGTTTGCATGTGTAGAGAGAGAGAAAGAGAGAGAGAGACTTTAGATGTGTTAGGATGTTCTCCCATATGAATTGTGGATTTTGGGTTTTGGTGCCTGCTAACAGTTTATCTGCAAAGGTGCAGCTGTAGGTTGTTGGCAGCTTTCGTCAACTCGAAGGTCTCTCTCTCTCTCCCTTGCTGCCACTTTCATGATCGAGAGATGAGACCATGAGGTCAACACCAAGGCAGCCACACAGTTGAATGAAAGCCTGCCCAAACTATATTTTTCTAAACTGTCCTTTACTCTGACTTGAAGTCTAAATGTTAACTTTGCCGAGGTTTTCTTTTTTTTTTTTCTGAGTGCACCGCTTCGCCTGGCTGCAGAGTGATGCTTTTCCCACCGACCTCAACTGACATGACACATTGTTTTTAGAGGAAAGAGACAGTTCTGCTGATGGAATGTGAGAACAGGACAGCAGACTTGGCAAGCCGACGTGGGTCATGAGTGCTACCTGCCACTCACCTACTTATCAACCCCAGAGGATTCTGTCTAGCCAGGTGCCACTTTGTGAGCACAGTATTGGTGTGTTTACGCCTTTGGTGAATCCACGTGTCTGCATTTCTGTGTGGAAAAAGAAGAGGACAGAGTGAAGTTTAATTTCTAACTCTGCCGGGCTGAGAATTCCCCAGAAAGGAAACTTAATCTAGAGGCCTTCTCAGACTGGACAAATAGACAGTAAATTAGTTTCGCATGACGGTTTATTAAAAAAAAAGCCTTGTGTATACAGCGGATTATTGATGCATCGAGCAGAGGGATGGATAAGGTTCCAGTGTGGTCGGTAGTGAGGGACAGAGCCCAGGTCTCCGGGGGAAGAGGGAATATGGAGTGTCACCTCCAGAGCCACATCGCTGTCACGCACAGGGGAGGCCGGGGCCGCTAAGCTCCGCAGCACACCAGGCAAATAAAAAGCAGTGAAAAAATGACATTGTGCAAGATCTTTTTCATGTTGAAAATAAACAAATATATCAAAAGATTTATAGATGTTCCGCTGCTGTTCATTTTTTTGTCGAGTCACACAATGAGTTGGAAAAAGTTTTGTGCCATTAGGAGAGAACAGCTGGAAGTGCACAATTCATTATCGTTGGAAATGAAGTCAGCAACTCTCGTTTGTGGTCAGTTTCCCTTTCTTGCCCCGTGGCAGGACGAGGCCTCAGGCGACACCTTTGTAAATGCTCTGCCTTTGTACGCACTTGAGGTGGATTCACATGGTTGCTCGTTACCCTCCTGCTCCCCCTCCCCTCCTGTCTCATACGCTCTCCTCTTTCCATCTCTACTTTTCCTCTCCCTCCTCCTCCTCCTCCTCAGCCACCCCCCTCCCTGCATTCCTCCCGTCATGGGGCTGACAGACACTCGTCATCAGCAGGTACTCTGGTCCAGGTGGATCAGGTTTCTCACTTGCCAGGAGATTGTGCTGCATGAGCATTTTTATGGCTTAGTGCTGCACAGTTGGAGGTTTTCAGTGCAACTCTGGTGTGCTGCCATGTCAGATAACCTTTAAGACAGACGCTGCCTCTTCAGACAGCTTAACAAAAACTCCTCTGGCTTTTCATAATATCCAAACACTCTTTTTGTGCCTTGTGTTTTCTTTTTGTATGACATCTGCAGTCAAACCACAACCTCTGTGGTTGTTTTACTTACTTTATTATGGATTTGTGTAGTTTCTAAATCATTTTCTAAAATATTTTTAACATTTCGAGATAACATTTCATTTATAACAGAAGGGAAAAAGAGGCACTTTTTAAATCTAAATGTTTTCAGTCTGTGGTAGGTTTTTAGTAGTTTTTTTCAGTTAAGCCTTTGGCATTAATTAATTAGTGGTGGAATGTGACTAAGTAAATTTACTCAACTACTCTGCTTAATTACAAAATTAGGTACTTTTGAATATTTCCATTCCGTTCTGCTATTCTTTTACTCCACTACATTTATTTAACAGCTTTAGTTACGCATAATTTAACAGATTAAGATTTTACATGCAAAACATATATTGACTTTATAGATTAAACTATGCAACATTATATAAAGTACCTAAAACCTTCTCTACCTCAACAGTAAAATACTGCTTACACATTAATACAATTCATAATAATAATTGAATAATATAAGCTATAACAGTATAATACTTACTTACTTTTGATACTTTAAGTACATTATTAATTATACTTTGTGCTCTTACCTAAGTGTATTGATACGTACTGAAGTAAAGGATAAAATCCAAAACATTCAAGCTTTTTCTGAAATACTGTTGTTTTACTTAGTAAGTAATTATATTTATAATTGGACGCTATGTGTGTGTTCCCACGGTCTGTGTTTGATGATGATTTACAGCTACTTAGCCATTAAATGGGTCATGATTTGATTCCAGCCAACCTTGAGACAAATGGTAATCTGTGTAGTATTTGTTCTGTCTTGAAGTGATCTTATTAATTTTGTTTTGTGCGTCTGTCTCCTGGCAGATGTGGATGAGTGCTCAGAAGGCAACGGCGGATGCCAACAGATTTGTGTCAACATGATGGGCAGCTACGAGTGCCGCTGCAGAGAAGGATTCCTCCTGAGTGACAACCAGCATACCTGTATCCAAAGGCCTAAAGGTTAATCACGTACACACACACACACACACACACTCTCATACACATTTAATTTGGTTTGGTTTAGTTTTGTTTGTTTGCACAATCATACAAAGCAAAATACATACATATAGAAGATAGAAATTATAGCACAGGAGAGGAATGAAGCCTGAATTCAGATTCCTCTCCTGTTTTATTAAAATAAAAATGCAATAAAAAATTGCATTATTATTCAAGGGAAAAAAAAACAATACAAACAAAGCAAGCAAACAACAAAAAAACATACACATAGCACAAACACTCTCTATATATGTACATACACATATAGGCAAGCATAAACAATGGGGAAAGCAATGACAGAAATGCAAACCTATAAGTAGATATATACAACCAAAGAAGCATCTTGGCATATCGTTCAAAATGAAAAAATGATTTCAGTGGTATATTCAATGAATTGCAAAAATGCGGACTTTTAAAAAATGGATGTCTTGTATGAAAATAAGGTGAATCGAATTTTTTGAATTGCCTAGTTGAATAAGAATGAATGTCTGAAAAGAAGATAAAGGATATGAAATGTATCAGGAAGATGTTGCCTGCAATTTGTATATTTAAACATAAATAAGCATGCATGGAAGAACATTTACCGTGTCCATGGAGAGCAATGAGTATTTTATTTACATGTATATTCTATGTTTTTTCCAATTCAGTCTTTCATCTACAATAATTTCTAGGAGTTTAAGAAAATAGCAGGACACATGTTGTTCAGTGATGCTGCATTTGACTTGAATTTGACTGTATATGTGGTTAAAGGTCATTATTGAGGTAATATCTGGATAGTGAATCTTTATTCAAATACAAATGTTCAGGTCTGGGTGTTTTTGAATAAGATGATGAGCTGTGCGGATTTATACTAAGTATGGGATCGGCCCTAACAGGCCTAAATGAAAGGTGAGCAAAGGTAAGTGTCTCCAGTCTGAGGTGGAAAAAAAAAGAAAGGGGATAAATCTGTTTTTGTTTTCCACCCACCCTTTTAAATTGAACCAATCTAGTGCTTGGCAGCATTTTAAGGTATCAGTGGTATGAGAGTGGCCTGCGGGGGACTGTGAGCAGAGAAAACAATTAAAGGTGTAGCCTGGGGCAGACACACCTCTTGTTTATAGAGCATTCCTGTGGGATGGAGACGTGACAGGCGAAGGTACAGAGCCAACCTGCTCTGAGGCTTACTCATCAGACACAGCAGCACTGTAGACATACATTCATTTATAACGTCACAGCTGTATTTAAAGCAAAGTAAGCTGTCAGGAAAATATCTCTGTTATGCATATTGTTTTCTTCAGTCCATGAAACAACAGCACAGTGGCTGTAGTTTGTAACATAGATAGATAGATACTTTATTAATCCCCTATTGGGGAAATTCTTCTTTTCACTCTTTTTTATTCTTACACACACACAGGCTGAACACTTCATGCACCTGTGGACATGCAACAGGGAGAGAGATGGTGGAGTGATGGGCTCGCCACATTAGCAGCGGTTAGGTTGCCTTGCTCAAGGGCACCTCTCCAGCTACCAGTCCACACTCCATATTGTGGTCTGTATAATATTATATAATGTCGTAAAAAGGAGTAGTTCCTCAGCTTTGCCAGCATTTTTCACAAAACTGATGGATTAACAGTTTGCTGGTTTTAGTCGGTTTGGACTGTTGTAAATTGTTCTAGTTTCAGCCTTTATTCTTAGTAACAAATACATTTTTGATTGAATCACAAAGACAAAATGTGCTTTTTATTTACCTGATAAATCATCATCGTGTACATTTTAAAGGCCAACCAACAGGACTGAAATGTTTATTCTTTTAAATAATAATGATACTACAGCATACTTTTCCATTTTTCAAAGGAGGATAAAAACCTTTTCTGGAAATGTTTTTTGGAAATATTTGTGTCTAAGAGTCAGGCCTCTGGGTGGGCGTTTCCCATGGCAACAGTTGACTGACAACAGTAAGCTGCTGTTGCTAGGAGACAAGCTGTCAATTTCCTCGGAGAGCTACTGACTGGAGCGTGTTAAAATCTGATGATATGATGAAATACAAGACATTAAGTTTACATAGCGTTAGATAACTGTTAGTGACTTCTTTCCCTTTTATAACTTTAACAAGCGAGCTAGGCTAACTAGCCCAGTAGACATTACGTCAGCTGTCTTGATTTGTGGTTATAGCAAATGACCTCCCACGTGGTTAACTACCTGTGGGGCTGTTGAAATTGAGGCAATGGGGTGGCACCCTGGTAGCTCACCTGGTAGAGCTGTTTCCCCATGTACCAAGGCTGAGTGCCCCCTGCAGCAGTTCGAGTCCGACCTGTGGCCCTTTGCTGCATCATCCCCTCTCCCTACCAGTTTCCTGTCGATCTTGAGCTGCCCTGTCAAATAAATCCAAAAAGATGGCAAGGTCCAAAAATATTGAAGAAAAAGAAAGAAATTTAAGTGATAGGACACACCATTTTACAGCCTGTCTATGCGGGGGTTCAGCCAATGACCAAACAGTACTGGCACTTACATTTGGTGCCAAAAAATCTAACCTGACTGCACTGATGTTTTGTTACACAGAACCAACTGGGAAGTTGTCGTTGGAAACTGTTTGGAGAAGGGCAGGTGCTTTCAAAAAATACTCTGCAGGTGATTGGATGAACCATCTGTGAACTTCAACCAGTCAGATCAATGAATCATATGATGTAGTCAAACTCTTACCAAAGTCAGTCAGTAAAGGAGTGAAAACAGTTTTTTCATTGAGAAAAGCCTTCAGTGCCTTTCTTTGCTCTCCTTTAAATAAAGAAATACTCTCCAGTTCTGATATAACTGACTAAATAAGTGCAAATCAAAGCAAATACCACTGATTTCTTATCAAATAAAACTTTTCATTTCAGTTTGTCTTGAGAGTCTGCTGGAGATTTATTTTTCATTGAGATTTTGACTAAATATAAATATCCTTGATTTTGTTCCCTGTGCTGGTCTGTGTTGTGCTGTTGCTCTGCTAGTTGTTTGTTACAATGCTTCCATTCTTTGTTTGGCTGATTTATCTATAGCTCGGAAAAGCAACATTAGAGAAAATGCACAGCTGTTATCATTATCACCAAACACATTTATTCAAGGAGTAATTATCCAGCTGTCTACAGATTTCTCAACTCTGCCAGTTCAGGACTGTGTTGTAGATATTTTGGTTCCTGGGGTTTGCAGCACTTCTCATTCAGAAAGCCCTGACAGCATGTACAGCAAGGGCCCGAGTGTCTCTTCATTTCTGCCGTCCTCGTCTCTCCCCTCTCTTTTGTTAGATAACTTCTCATGCTGGGAGTCATTAGACTGTGATGTTCCTAAGTCCCCTGGACGGTGAACCGAGGATCTTGGAAGTCTGGTTTATGAGATCAGTCTGGCCTAGTGAACTGTCAATGTTTAAATTTCATAAACGCAGTGTTATTTGAGTGGAGTGAAAAGCTGGATCATGTGTTTCAAAGCACTACGACTATATCGGTGCTGTCAGAAGCAGACTGAACACTGGTCCGGTTCCCCTCCCTTTTCTTGATAAAATGCCCTCAGTTCCTGTTAATTTTCCATTTTCATATTAATTTTCTTGCTTTATTGCTTACAGATGAGACCCATTTGGATCAAGAGATTAAAGCTGCCATAAATCTACAAACTTCCTTCACTCATCAGATGGATGCCCTTTCATTGTTTCATTATTGTTTCACGGAGAACAGACAGAACAACTGCTCATCTGCTTATTATTACTGCTCTTATTACAACAGTGTATGTCTGAAGGAAAATGAAAGTAGTGAGGAAGTGGCTCACCCAGTTATTGGACAATAACCCTGCAGAATTGTTGCAACACTTTCCTCGCTAACTGAAAAATTATGCAAAAGTGGCTCAGGGAAAAAAAAAAAATCATTCTGAATATTATAACTGATCTAATCTCCCAGCCAAGTCTGTTTAAATGCAACCCTCCATCCATTCTGCCAAGGCTCCTCTTAAAGAGCAAAGCCTGGGGTGCAGTTTGCTCATGAGCTTTATTGTTCTCATTAAAAAGACATCAGCTTTCCATTTCTTTCGTTAATGGGTCAGGTGTTCCCTGGGCAAGTTCTGCGAGTCTTTTTGCGGACAGTGGAGAGCCTGGTCACTGCAGTGTATGGCGCTAACAGTCTGTTTCCCCTGCTGGTAGGAAGCCCTTGTTAGCAGTGAGCCTGTGCCAATTAGGCAGCAGGGGTCTGCCAGCCTCTCAGCTAATGACAAGGCTGCTGCTGGCCTGTCTCTTATTAGACCTGCCCCTGCCCCCCTGAACAGGAATAACTCCGGCCAAATGAAGGCTCCATCGTCTAGCTGGACAAAATGTAACAGTTCATTTATTCTCTCCAAACATTTCTCCCAGTCCGGAAATAAAGCCTTTGAAAGGCCAGCCAAGGTGCTTAGTGGTTGATAGGAATGCCATTTAGGTCAAGAAGGGTTCCACTGCTTTGCGTTTGATTTATTGTCTCTTTTATATAGGAGGATAACTGGGAAATACTATATGTGCGTGAGACGGGATCCAGCACATTACAATTCTGGAATTTCAGGCTCAGTCAACCCACACATCCATAATTTTAGTCTTGTACATTTCTGAATATCCGGTAGGGCAATTACCTTAAGTGTGCACTGATGGGCTGTTACGTAAGTCACATATAGTAACTTTTGTATTCATTCCTTTTGTCCTAAGCTCACAATACACAAAATATGATTATATGATTTGAAAGTTAAATCATCATCTCTGCTGAATTCATTGTGGGACAGCACAGCTGAACTAGCACTAGTTATGCCAGAGATGTAACTTTTAATAAGAAGTCGAGGCCTCTGGATCAAACTTTCTGTCACTCTGCCAATCAATATTGCATAAGTGTAGCTGGCATTGTGTAGAAAGATGTGGGGATAGCAGCAAGGAGTCTGAAAGTTCACACCAGCCTGATGATTATATTATACCTTCTCATTGCAGAGAAAACTTTGATTATATC